GATGATGATCGTGTTGATGATGATGATCGTGTTGGTGAAGATGATCGTGTTGGTGAAGATGATCTTATTGATGATGATAATCAAACTGACAATTTACGGTGTTGGGTGTTTCTATAACGTCATGGTGCTGGTTATAAAATCATTGCTAATTAACATCTCGTAATACACCGAATCTTCCTTCTATAGATTTTTAGACCAAGAGCACTCAGTTGGTAGCAAGATCTGGTGTTGTCTACCGCAGTGCCGTGCACCACAGTGTATCGTCTCTGTCTACATCGTCAGTGCATCAGGCCTGCAGAGAACAGGAGTAAGCTTGAGTAAGTATGACGTCATATCTGGAAAATGAYATCACTTTTATGACGTCAAATCCTATCTGAGTATGACGGTGGAGGTTTTAGATAAACGTAGTGTTTAAAAACAATGCCATTTTGATGATAATGCGCAAAAATTTTAGTTTTAGGTTTTGTCACTTTGCTTTGTTGGATTGTCCAATAGATATCTAGTTGGAAATAATTAACGGTTGAACAATTAAATTATATGTTAAGTGTATGCTACATCGAAAAAAAGCAAAAAACAAAAACAAAACAAAACACAAAAAACACTAAAAACACTAAAACACATTTCATAAATTAAATTATACTATAAGGAATGATATGTATGTGATCTGAATTGGGAGAACATTACGGTCCAGCTAAAAAGGTTTATTAATGACAATGAACCAACACTAATTATGTTTTGAGGTTCATACAAAGGAAGTTATGTTTTTTTTTTATTGAGGGATTGGGCTGGGGCTACAAACGGGAGGGTCTCCAGTAAGAATCGTAGGATTTGTTGGCGAGTCAAATCTGTTTTTATTTTGACAAATACTGTTTCCTTGTGGAGTTTGCTGCGAATACCCCATCCCTCCCCTCCCCTCCCCCCAAAGAAAAAACCGTACGTTTCTTAAATCATCTTCTTGTTAATATTCTATTTTCACTTCTTCGGTAGCTCCAGACCCGTACGCCACCATCTCATGCGAAGGACGAAAGGTTAAAACACCAGTACTCAAAAACACGCTGGAACCGAAGTGGAACGCTGGCGCACTGTTCTATGTCAGGCAGCCACAGAAAAGCCAGATTACCATCCAGGTATGTGCAGTAAGGGAAGGTTTCTTTACAGCAATTGAATGGTTTCTTACCTACATCTTACTTAATGGATTTATTGTTCGCTACTCTTGGGTATCTTTTAAAAAAAAAATTCAAAGTAAAGATACTTTGCAGCATTTGAATAGGTTTGCTCATATTCCTGGTTTCTTCACTTTAATGTCTTTTTGAAGTTTTCGTAGGAAAATATTTTACCGCACTTAAATGGTTGCCGAATGCCTGGCTTTAAATTTATACTGTTTTAAATTTAAAAGCTTTTGTTGAAAAAATATTCCTGGTTTCTTCACTTTAATAATGGCTTTTTAAATTCTTAAAATATTTTTACCACGCTGACTTAAATACCTGCTTTCTTATTCCTATTTAATTTCCCTGCACTTCACAATGACTATTTAAAAGTTTTCGAGTTTGAAAAATTCGGTACTAGTTTACCACTCTTGCATGGTTTTCATGCAGATTCTTGGTTACCTCAATGAAATGGCTTTTTCAAATCTGCCGAAAATAATTCCCTCACTCAAATGGCTTTTTTGACAATTCCGTCGAAAATGAAAAAATCACTTTTATTTAAAAGTCGTTCTAGCGCTTTCGTACTAATTGGGGACACTTTTCGCTCACACGCACTACCACTACATTTAATATTCTATGCACRCAACGCTCAGCTCACATGTTGATTTTTACGTAACATCTAAGCGATTATAAAAAATTAAAATAAAATTATATCTTATTATTCTATATAGATTTGGGACTATAACTGGACAATTGATACATTCATGGGCCAAGCCAAGATACCAATTAACATCACCAACTCCAAAACCCAGTCAACTCACAACCTCAAAGGACGCCGCCGCCGTCAATATGAAGAAGTACCTGGAACCATCACCGTTCAGATCGCTGCTTACGCAGACTTGTTCAGTATCTAAGCGACTGCCGTATCTTAGCAACAGTAATTATCAACAGTGTCTTAGCAACGAAAATAATTGTATTTTTAAGCAGCAACGATTGCAACTAAGCACCCATTTAAATTCCTTGTAACATTCAGTGGTATCTTAGCAACGATAATTATCGTCAGTTTCTTCGCAACTAAAGGCTTCGATAATGGTATCTAAGAACGGCCATTTTAACGGTATCGTAGCAACGGTACGTAGAAATTCCAAAGTTAATACGAGATCTTGTAATAAAAATAGTTTAGAATGAACAAAAAAGTGGCTACCTAAGCTAAAAAATTAGAACAATTTGCTGTTTTCATACAAAAACTTTACATCGATATGCTTAAATTTCTACCATAAGCCCCTTTTGAAAATAAACACACATTTTCCACTAAAAGTTTTCACTGAAATTTGCACATTTTAAAGACTTTTTGCACTGAAATTTTTCACTTTTATAAACAACTAAATAATTTTCAAACTTTTGCGAACTTCTAAAGTTTTGACCGATTTGTATTAGGACAAGAAACGGATAAGGCACTCCTACCCGGCTTATGAAACAATACAAAATACGATAGTCAAGATAATGGCTTTTTGTTCAAATGGTATAAGTTAAGTTAAAATAAGTAAATTGTTTTCTACACTRTTGTGTGACTTTCAAGATCTTGGAATTTTATTAAAGCGTTTTTCATGGGTCAGTAAAACAGCACAAACATTTGTTCAATACGAAATAAATAAACTTATATTTAAAATGTAATGTCTCGTTATATAATACAATGGCGCTTTTTAAAATAGAAAATACATATACATTTATTTCAAAAACCGTTGTCGGTCGGAGATCTGAGAAAAGGTGATCTGAGACTTAACTGGTTTTCTTTTTCTTTTTTTTTTTTTTTTTTTGCTTTTTAAAAACGTTTTTCTGGCTAAAGTACGAAAATCACATTCTTAACTTAAAGGTAATACTTCATATTCCGATATAAAAGGCAAGTTCTTCGTTCGGCTGTGAATATTTTACATTTTGCAGCGAGCTACTCGATCTTAGATTTTATGGCAGATTACCGACTGAGAACGTTTTATGAAAATAGTTTTCCAGAGGCAACCCAGTAAAAAAGACAATGGTATTTTATGACCAGTTTACCACAGGTAACCCGGCAATAACTGGATAGAGTTTTGAACTGCGCCGTTTATTCTTATGTCACCGATGTCACCTCATCGCCGCCAAGTTGGTGCTATTTGATAAAAGATTTCTTATCAGCACCCATTGTTAGCCACACCAAGATGGCTGCCATATTTTTGTCATTTGACTTTCGGGAATACTTGCAACCAATTGTTCAAGTCCTTTTTTTCTTGTTTACCTATGCTGTGGTGGTTTTAAAATTCTTTAGCCAATGAATCCTTTGGTTTTCAAAAACCTCATGGCATCGTTAAACCCTGCCGAGTACAGCTTATCGACGCCATCGATTCGTGGCGGGTAAAGCACATTCAAACCACGTTTAGCGTTTTCTTTGTTGACTAGAACGTGCATCTTTCGCCAGTAGAACTCTGATAAGGGTTTAGAAGCGTCTTGTGGAGATATATGGCTGTTCCCACTGAATGGGGACACGAGGATTGTATCTCCCTGGGGAGGAATGGGAAGGTTGTCCGTGAAGCCACCGTCAAACCATCTCTGTAAGAATTAAGAAATACAAGTTTAGAACACAGGACTTTTTGAATGATGGCGTCGTTTTACTTCGACAATCAAAATGTTGGGTTTCTTTTGATGTAGCAAGCTTGTATTGTATTCAGGTAAGTATCTTGAATATCCCGCAAATGTTTTACCACAGGGCCACGGTTTCGTAAAATTAGCATAACAATATAGCCGTGAAAATCGCATATTATCTTCAGGTGCGAAGTCTATACGACGCCTCAGATATGTGGACGTTTAGGGCGTATGGCACAGTAGAATCATTATCTTGTATTTCTACAGTCTACCCAAAAGCATTGTCTACTGCTCTTGCGGTGACAAGTAACTTGTGTCCAACTTCCCACTCATTTCTGCTAAAGGCAGTCAATTTGAACGGCAGGCAATTCACCTTCTCGGCGCTAGCTTGGATTGTGTTACGGTCACCAAAAAGTTCGGCCATCGTTCTCGGATTTTCATACAAATTCACTGACTTTAAAGAGAAAATTTAGGTAGATTTCTTTAGTTAGCTATCTTAACAGCAATAAGAAAATCTTCAATCACGCTAGAAAAAGGATCATTTACTTGTATTTAGAGAACTAACTAAACATTAAACAAGTAAATAGTTCATTTAGAGTCAGTACATTTGTACGGAAATTCGAGAACAATGTCCGAACTTTTTGGTGAGCGTAAAACAATCTAAAACGATGTATACTAGTAGGAGCCCCGTGACGGCTAGCGCAGAAAAGGTGAATATTGGCCACATTCTGAGGTCGAGGAAAAAACTGGGCCGAGTTGGAATGGCAGAGCCTTGTGGGACGATTTCTGGGACCATTCTATATTTTCAAGATGGCGTCTATTCTATCCCTAAGACATTCCCACACTCCAATGTCAACTAGACCTAGTTTTTTCCCTTCACTTTGGAAGAATTGTTAGAATAAATGCACTTCATAAAAACGAATAAAATACTTTGCGAACTTTGAGTATAATTTGCCGTCGTTCAAGGTGGGATTTATCAATACGAGAAAATGAGGTTTCTGAAACAGTACGTTTTGAATTGAATTCTTGGAAATTTTTTCATTCAATAAGCCTCAAGCATGATGACCTTTCATACCAACACTTCCAGAATCGCGATTTTCGCTATTCTCTTGGTGATATCAAAGAAGCTTTAACATTTTTTGAATATGAAAAGATATTTTAAAAAGGATTGTGGTAGTTAAGATATGAAACCTCATTAGGGTTAGGGCCCATTGTAGTGAGGGGGAAAGCCTTAGAAAGAAGACCTACAGCTTGCCATTAATCTATTTGTGACATTTTCCTTCCCCTCCCCTCCCCTCCCCTACCCCCACACTCCCCTCCCCCCCCCCCCCCAAAAAAAACGATTTCGAAATATTTTCTAACGTTGTGCATAACAGCAATCGAAAATATCAAAAAAGGAATTTAAGAAAGCCTAATTTTATTTCATTTATACAATTACCAAAGCATATATTTTAGTAGTTACTCATAATAATAACACTATTGGATAATAATTATTGTTAGTAATTGACTAGTGGATTATTAAAATTCATTGTAAATTTGGATTACAGACAAACTATACCCTCACACTAATAAATTATCCTAGCCTGGGGCTAGGTCAAAAAATCTAGAATAAGAAATACTAACATGAAGAAAGATTTCAATCCTCGAGAGAAGACCAAGAGTTCTTTGTTGTGGTCTAAGATCATGAATTAGTATGTGCAAGATATTTATAACTATATTTATTTTTATGATAAAATCCTACACAAATTATATAAAATATCGGCTCGTCATATATAAGAATAGTTCAGCTGCCTGGGAATGCTGCCTGGCTCAAAAAATTGACAGAAGCCTTGGATATGATTTAGTGAACCATGTCATACATGTACAAATCTTTACCGTTTGTGTGATAATAATATTTTTTCATTAGAGAGTATAAACATCATTAATAATTGAATTAATTTTGAATTATTAATGAATTAATAATTTGTTAAGCGCCATTGAGCTTCTGGAAATGGTGCTATATATATGTTAATTATTATAATTATTATTAATCATTATCTAACATTTTGGCAGTATTTTATGACTACATCTCCCAGAATGCTTTGCAAATTTATTTCACAATCCTTCAAGACAATAACAAATGGTGTGAATAAATCAAAAAGTGTGCAAGGCATTCTGGTAGTTGTAGTACATGAAGCTATTTTAACTCTAAATTTCTACTAAATTATCAAACCACCAACAAGGAATGATCACAGAGATTCTTTTTATGAAGAAATTTGAGTGCATCCTCATATCCTTTCTGCACAATTTCCTCAATTCCTTCTTTCTTTGGAGGGATAAAAATTCTAAGCTCTCTTTGTAAATTCTCTCTGTTCACAAAAATATTCATATTGTGGAAGGTAATGTCAGTAATACCCTGTGACTCATCCTCTGGCGATATATGCATATCTTTGCCACTGAAGGGCGAGATAAGTATTGTCTCTCCAAACGGCAGGACAGGTAGGTTATTTGTTAGGCCTCCGTCAGCCCATTTCTGTGGTCAAAATGAAAAACGGACATTTTAGACTCTCTGCTTAAATTTATATTTTGGTCTTTTTTTTGGCTGGGTTGCCTGTGCTACCACAGGCAGCCCGATGGGAAAAAATTCTGAGTTATATTTAAGCCCTTTCTTCATTTTCTACCAATGGGAGTCAAGGTCAACTAATGGAGCTGTATATGTTTAGAATATTAAGGTTTTAATTTACCTGTCCTTTGAATTCTGGAAAATCCAGGCCAACATAGAATGGAATGTAGCAACTAGCAAGTAAAACCTGCAGAAAAAACAGCAAAAAATTGTTTATGGGTTTCCTGTGGAAAGACCAGCAAAAAATTTTTTATGGGTTTCCTGTGGTATCTGCTGATTTGAGAAAAAGTCACAATAGCGCAGTGTAACCGTGACGTCATAAAAACAAAGACAAAGGCAAAATTCGGACAAACAAACTTACAAAGTTACTTTGAGCTGATAATTTTCACAGCCGATCGCAGTTGATCTTAGTTTAMAAGGGTTATTATTGTAACTTTAGTAAAAAAAAAAAAATCGGTTCGTAAAATCCTCGTAGCGGTTAAACTGAATGCAATGTTTGTCTGAATCTTTAAACTATTTTTAGAATCAGTGCGCTGCGCTATTGAGAAAAATTTGCAAAACTGAAGTGTCACTTTCCTTGAAATAATGGATTTCCAGGTCATCAAATGAAAAAACAACATTGCTAATACTCATTTGATAACAGTGACACAATATTCAATGAGTTTAATATTTTTATTGCAAAGGATGGCATGTTTTTATTTAAACTGGTCAACTTTTGCAGGCTTTGTGACACCTCAGTTTTGCAGTGATGTCATTTCTGTATCACTATTTCAGATCAGCTGGATGGAAATACTCAAAAAAAATTTTTTTAGGAATTCCTGTGGTTTTGGGAGATTTTTGACTGCAATGTGTTGGTTCAGCATGTTTCTCCTTTGGAAAATGATTTCTTTAATCATGCAAATGCATTGAATCATTAATCTGCACCCCACATGGCTGCTGTCAAATATTTCCACAAGAGTCTCAAGCATTTTGTACCTTCATAAGTTCATCTTTTGATTCGTACTCTGATATCATCAAATTTTTTCTGGTCTTTAAACTTGTTACTGAAATGAATAATCTCCCTGAAGCAAGCTTGTGACAGTTGGATGGCAGATATTCTTCCATTCCCTTGCGCAAGTTACCAACAAGATCAAACTGTGGGCTGAATGGGCCAAGCGGGTTCTTACGAGCTTCATTTGTTAAATCAACAACATACTCAGAACACTTGTCGATTGGTGCTGATGTGGCAAGCATTGCGGCAGCAAGAGATCCTGCTGATGCTCCAGCAAAGGCCTTGATGCTGCGCAAGAAGTTAGGCGCATGCTCAACAAGGCACTTAGCCACACCCAGATGGTAAACACCTAAAAATCCACAGCCAGCGAATGACAAGTTCATTGGAGAAAGGACAGTAATCTACTTATTCAGCATATGGTCAGCTGCTAACTGAAACACGATAAAAAAAAGAAAAAAACTTGAATTATTAACATTAAATGCATTTTATAAGAACTATAAATGATACAATCATTCCCAAGAGAGTCAATTAGTGGGGTGCACGCTATGCCGTGGTTTACTAAACAAAGTGTTCTTCATTATAATTAAGCTTCTCTTGTTAGATCAACCAAGATGACAACTATTTTGTTGTTATCTATATCTCAAGGGACTTTTTGGTCATGTGGTTGCACTCCAAGAATTGACAAATAATTGGCAAACATATTGGTGGTATAAACCATGGAACCTATTGAGAAGGCTTTTGTTAAATACCTTTTGCATGGCCATGATGATATAATATGTAATAGAAAGATAGTCCCCTTCACGGTTCCTTGCAACACCTTGAAAGGTAGCCGTGCCTTTACATCGAAGCGAGCCCTTTTTTCAACACCTTGGAGGATTATTCACATGTCTCTAATCATTGCAAGTTCAACGTTTGTCTAGATTCGATGCAAAGTCACGGCTACCTTTCAAGATAACACAAGGAACTGGGAAGGAGACTATTCTTGAATTCTTGGCTACCATTCTCAAGGGAGTAGCATATATGTTGAAAGATATAAAAAAGTAATCTCAAAGTATTAAGCTTCAAAAGGGACGGTCTTAACGCTATTTTTTTAAATTCTAATTTTGTTACGCAATCTGTACGATATTGCGTGATGTATCGAAATTTAATACGAAACAAATACAAATCACAACAAAATATTTTGGCGTCACGTTGTAACTTAACATCTTATCTATGCTATCAGAGCTAATATAACCTTAAATCCAATCATATTCTTACCTAAAAGTCCTATTTTAGCCGTCATCACAAACGAACCATTTTGAATATTTAATGACCTGATTCCCTAAATGTTCCGAGAGGAGACTGGTACTAGAATTTCTTTTTTTCCCATGCCGTCACAGGGAGCCCGGCTTACACTCATATACTGAAACGGTCACTACGTAATAGAACTTGTAATGCAATAGTCTTACTTAGCCGTTACGTATTTGAATTTGAATTTATTACGGTATTAAGTTACGCGTTAGAGTGCATTCAGTCTCACTGTTGAATAGTTAGATAAATTTATCTAACTTAGAGATCTATTTAGTTGACGTCACCTAAAATAGTAAAAGCGCGCCAAATAACGGTCATGCTAATCCGGGGGGTTGTTTTACCAGAGAATGAACTCCTATATGAAAATACTAAATGGCCGGCAGTTTCATCTTTTTCAGGGATTTTCCATACTCAAAAAAAGAAAACTAAAGCTTCGCTATCCTATATTTTATTATTTGAAAAATCAAAAAAAGAAAAAAGAAAAAAATAATAATATAGGAGCAAAAGCGTGAGTAGGTATTGTTAAGGTCACCCATCCAAGTGCTAACCCTCCTCAGACGAGCTTGACTTAGTATCTTGAACGACAACAATTTATCCACTGGACCACGGTTCCAGATGAATCAGCATAACAATAACCATGAAAACAATGAACCGGATAGACTAGACTTTTTAACATCAAATTTTCAACCGATTCCGTGCGTAGCAGAGATGCAAGGGATTAGCCGATATGGTCTGGGGGCCGGCTGGTCTCTCCCCTGATGCTTCGGCTAGAACATTTTCTTGCGTAATTCGTGCACCCAAGGGCAGAAGGATTTAATCGCCGTCAGGTCCGAAGTCCATACGCCGCCTCAGCTCTGCGGATGTCTCGGGGGTATGGCAAAGTGGAATCGTTTTTTTTTTTAATTTTTATTTTTAATTTCTTTTAGTGGGTTCGAATACCATCAACATCAGATTTTTCATTTTTTAATCCATTTTTTTAAAATAAGATTTTAATCAGTTCAACGATAAGGCAATCTTAGCGAAAAAAGATTTATTCCTATAGTCGGTTGTTATAATAAGCCTGTATAATGATAATATAATATATATAATAATAATATGATAAGACTGTTCGACCAGACGTTATCAGTCATTAAGCAATATCGATCCGCGAAAAGTTATGCCCTTCAATCTCTCTTGACAAAGTTTGCTGGATCTCTATATCATATGCCCGCAAAGGACTAGTGGTTGGTGCCGTAAAGACGTCTGGGTACTGTTGCGCAATTCCTGCATTCTCTGACAAGGAAAATAAACAGCCACCCCAGTACGTAAATAATATAATAACAAAGGATGGTAAAAAGATAAGAAAAGTAATTGGTGATTCTGACTAGCCTGAGAACATTGGGATATTCATCTTGTTGCGTGATGGCGCAAGATCAAATCCACAATTAGTGCAACATGCATAATGCGAAACTGGTTATTTTGTAGCCTAAAAAAGGGCAGAACCTGCATTTTTTTTTTCAATAATACGTAGAGAACACCTTTAGGAAGAAGATCGTCTTAGTCGAGTTGAATTCATTCTTTTCTGTAAAACGTTCCTTTATCTTTTGGCAAACATTGCAAGAACTTCTTGAGCTTTGACTAGGACTCAGTGCATGACATGTACACAGGCAACCCAGTAAACGCATTTTTTTACTTTACAGTTGACATTTGTGACTATTTAGACACTGATTCGAGGCTAACGTAACACTGTATAAATGAGTCTGTAATCAAGAAACACAGTTGTATTTGGCTAATTCGAAAATGGTCTATATATTCTCTAGCTAGGTTAGCCTCGATTTTAAATTGTATGAAATTAATTTGAATATTGCTGCATTCCAGTGAAGGTCAGTGGAATTTCAAAGCGTTTCATGATTATCGAAGTTCTGCATTCTTTATTATTAAAGAAACTGTTATAAATCTCGCGTTCTGATCGGTTGTAAGCGTGTGCTTTATGAGAGCACACAGCACACACGCGCACTTTCAAATGCGTGATTCCTATCTAAAATAACGGTTATTGTAATTTTATGTGGAGTTAGAAAGCACTTGGGGATTGGCAGAACACTTGAGAAGTGTCGAGAAGCACTCCGCTATTTATTTATTTATTCATTTTCTTCAATATAAATTTTTTGCTTCCCTACAACAGGAATATGTACCCGAGATGAAAATTTTGGGTTGAAAATCGCTTGTTGAGAATCGCAATTGAAACCGTACGTAGCAAACTGATTTGATTTAGCTTTGATTTATGGACGAAGGTTGCAACTGAGGTCGATGATTTAGATCATATCAATTATTGTGATAAATTCGTAGTAAACTAGGAAGAATGAAATTGTAGAAAATCGTAGCAATTTTTTGGTTGAAAAGATCTCGTTGTAGCAAAAAGGGTTTGCCCAAATACCGTTCAATATGACTTGGGCTCTGGGTACGAAATTAACGAATAGCTATACACACCTCAACAACCGGAGACCGCCAAGTAACGCAGGCTACAGGAATACTGGTTTCCGTTATGAGTAAGTCAATGACACAATGCTAGAGGGATTCATGATATTCAAAGAAACAACTTCTATAATTATATAGCGGAAACATACTTTAATAATTTTTTTCCCCATACAATAGTGCCCTACAGTTCCCTGCGCCATCTTGAATGGTAACCGTGCCTTTGCATCGAAGCGAGATGAACGGTGACAATGGCGGATCCAGTATTTTGTTCAGGGAAGGGTACTGCGCACAAAGTTAACCCAGGGAGGGGTGCACCCCTTAGAATCAAAGGGGAAAAAACAGTATTGGTTATCTTCGAAGTAGGGACACAAAGTCGAACCAGGTAGGGGTGCGCACCCCCTTCACCCCTCCCCTAGATCCGCCCCTGGGTGAGCTTGCAATGATAGAGTCATGTGCATAATTGTTCAACGTGTTAATAGTTATAAAACAAGATCTCTATCATCGCAAGCTCACCGTTCGTCTCGTTTCGATGCAAAGGCACGGCTATCTTTCAAGATGGCGCCGGGAACTGTGAAGATAATTACCAATGTTTCGAGAAAAAATATAATTTAAATATAAAACACATCCTCAAACATCTTTAATTGCTTTTCCCTTCGCATATGAGAAATATTATCTTGTACGTTATTTCTTGCATTTACTTGTTAAAAAATATATAAATATACTCCTTTTAAACAAAATGGAAGCTTTAATTATAAAATGGGCAGTAGCTACTTAAATACTAACCCGAGATTTTATTGTGCTCGGTATTTCTTAGATTATTATTTTTTTTTTTTACTTTCATCCAAATTTCCAATTTCCGATTTCAAGGGTTTTTATTAGAACACGGGCGAAGAAAAAAGGACAAATTTTTTGAATCATTGAAGTTTTTCTTTCCTCTTTCTCAGCCTGTGTTCTAGCAATACCTAATGACTGGGGAAATAATTAAGTAGCCTGTATTCCTATTGGTCTGTCGTTTGAATACCCAATCAGATTCGAGAGCTTCTACTTTTCTTTGCGGGGACCAAAAGAAACCCTGGCTCAAATTTTGGAGAAAGATATTACGTTTTTAATTTTTTTAGTTACCTCAGCAGGGAAGAGGAAGGACGTTCATCGCCGGAATACATAATTTTCTGAAAGTAATTGTATGTTTTGTATAGATGTTTGGCTTCAACGTTTGAAAACGAATATTACACAGGGATCCCATAACATGATTATCTATCAATATAACACAGGGACTCCACAAAGTCACCCTGTTTACAGACGTGTCTATCAGGGACTCCACGAAGTGTATTAAGATTCTTGGTGTGGGAAACCACAAGAATCCTACGCCAAGACTCACAGTATTGACAGCCAGGTGTCTCTGGCAACACAGGGAGCCCACATGGTGAATCATTATCTACATCTTTCAATACGAATTCCTAATAGCCTCCTTATGGTATAGTTCAAAGGTATAAGTTCTGCTGTTGGTTCGTCCTTGCTGCTTCCTTCAGGGGAATACGAAGGTTTAACGCCCAGGTGGTTCTCTGATATGATGTCCAAGAATCGCGACCAAGGCATTTTTAGAGTCTCAATGTTCTTTATTTTCTTTTGGATCGTTGTTTTGGCCACGAGTCCGCTGTCATAGAACTCTTGGACTAGTATGTAGTTTCGCCGCCTAAAATGAGAAACGGATGGAATTGAAACAGAGGGGAACAACTTATATTAATATATTATATATTTTACAACCACCACCCCCCATGCGGGGCTCTACCACTACATTCTATGTTCACAACATACAACACTCATTTCACATGTTGCTTTTTATGGAGGGAGGAAACAGGATATCCCGGAGAAAACCCTCGTGGCAAGGGAGAGAACAACACAWCAAACAAACTCAACTCACATATGATCCAGTCAGAGCCAGGGCTTGAACCCGGACCACAGTGGTGAGAGGTGAGCGGTAAACCACTACGCCACCCATGGGGAAAAAGCGTTGGCGAAGAAAGAAATCAAATGGAAAGAGGGAAGGTAAGGAAACGAAGTGAGGAGAGGATAGGAGAGGATGAGTAGGGCAGCGCAGGACAGGGCAGGGCAGGGCAGAGCTGAGCTGAGAGGAAGAGAGGAGAGAGGCGAGGACAAGAAACAACGAGTTGCGTCAACCTACCCTACAACTACATCATCTTTTAAAACAGGTAAATTATAAGTTGTGAGATGAGGTTTATCGCTGACTTCAAACTCAGGTACAAACGAGTCCGAACAATCAGGAATGTCTTCCCAGATACCAGACACGCGATCAGGAAACTCAGAAGCATCTATTGAAATATCAGTAATATAAAAATAAAGTTCATTACCAACGGAAAGTGAAATGTGGGGGAGGGGTGGAGGAGGGGGAGAGGACGGGGAAGATTCTTAACCACTGGTATCCATGTTCATCATGAGAAAAGGCTTAAATTTTCAACAGTTACTATTTTCACTTTAGGAAAAAAGCTTCATTTACCACGAGAAAATTAATATATACCAACCTGACAGCCTAGTAGAACAAGAAAATTCCCATCCATCCTAAAGATAAGTATATACGTGATTAATAATAATGAATAAATATAGTTACTTGATAGCCATTCATCTCAACTACTATATCATGATATAAACGCTAAAATCAATTTTTGATTTTCAATTTCAATTTAAGAATGGCAACTTACTGTTTTGTCTTCTATGTTAATTGGATTTTCAAGCCCAACATCAATACAATAATCTGTGAGGGAAACGATATTAAAAAGAATTGACAAAAATTCAGCGACTCTATTTTGAATATCTAAAAAACCACCACCACCACCAMCAACAACAACAACAACTACTTATTACTACTTAATTATTATTTTATGACGTCCAACCTCTTAAGAATTTTTTCGTTTTCGGCTCCTTCGCACAAGCGAGTGCATTATTCCCAGCATACGTTGCAAGCATTGGATCAGCTCCGTACGACAGAAGTACCCGGATGACGTTCACGTGACCAGCTTCAGCCGCGTCGTGAATTGGCCTGGTAACGAGAAAAAAAACAAAATAATGGAAACTTTAAATTGTGCTAACGAGGAAAGCATGTAAAGAAAAATTTGCCTATTGAAAATCAGATTCCATGTACACCCAGTTAATCGGTAGCTCACCTTATTCCATCATTTGAAGCTGCGTTCACATTAGCGCCATATCGAGCCAGAACTCTAACGACAGCCAGTTTCCCTCGTGCGCATGCCTCGTGCAGGGGCGTCCACCCAGCATTATCTCTAGCATTAGGATCCGCGCCTCGCAGTATACATTGCTTTACTACCTCCTGAAATGATACGAAAATGACGTTATTTTCCCGCTCGTTTTCTGCGCATGTACGATGCATTTTTCAGCATTGTTGATCAAATTGTCATGGTGTGCAAAAATGTAGTAGCTATTTCGAGGTTGAGGAAAAAAATTCTCTAAACAAGTGTTACAGTGCAATATGCCAGTTCCACCCAGTTTACAGTTTTTTCTTCGACCTCGGAATGGCTACTACTCCTCTTCATAATTGAAAGGTGAACGTGTCTTTGCATTGGAGCAAGGACGTCGGTAGTGACCTTGCAATGGTAGAGACATGTAAATAATATTCGAAGGAGTTAAAAGAGTGTCTATGAATGCAAGGTAACTGCCTTTCTCGTTTCGATGCACAGGCACGGTTACCTTTCAAGATGGCGGAGAGAACTGTGAAGGGGACTATACTCCAGTTTCGAGTTCTCTGTTGCTCAGAGTTGTGTAGAATATTCACATGTTCCAGTGAAGGTTCGTGATATTTCAAAGTGTTTATATTGTTGAAGTTGTGCATTCTTTACTTTACCGTTGGTATTTGTGAATATTTAGACACTGATTTAAGGCTAAGCCTGAGTAAATGAGTCTATAATCAAGGAACGCAGCGGTAATTTGGAACTCGAAACTGGTCCACTGGAACAGCTGTCAATTGCTTGCCGTTTTAGTTTAAGATTCTCGTTTACGGTTAACGTGAAACATTAAAAAATTCTTTAAAATTAGTGAAAAGGAATCGCAAAAATCTCCAAGTAGTAGATAAAAATAAGAATATGTGCCTTTGTCGAGAAGGTTTGCAAAAGGTAAAGTGAAATGAGGGAAACGATGAAAACGCGTACATGTTTGCCGTTTGTGGAAAGAAAAAAAAACGGGAATCTTGATATGCCTGATATTACTGACTTACATCGTATCCGAGTCGGGCAGCTTTGTGTAGTATTGTTTCTCCTGTAGTTCTGTTTACTGACAACCGTTTAGTATCTGTAAAATAAAAGCCCAATAAATATCAAGAAAATTAGTATCATATTATGAAATGAGATACTCTGGGCTAAAGAGGTTGTTTCACGTCGTAGGTTTAGGAAAGCGCCAGAGGCTTCTCGTCAAAACAGCAAACGATAGAGCGAGAACAAATAGCCTCTGCAACCCAGAGTAGAAAAATGGAAACGTTACACCAATGTTAAGAACGTGAAATTTTGATTGAGTGCAATTTTTGCAAAAGGCAAGACTCACCCCTATGTTTGTTTTCTTCTTCATTTAGTCTTGTCTCTTCTCGTTTCTGTGACGAAGGAATAAAAAGAAAACATTAGAAAAGTATTTATAGTAGGATTCACATGCACGGGTGAAAAACCAACTGCGCATGCTCGGAAGTTCGGCGGGAAAATTGGTAGACGCGTCGTGTTTACAAATAAAACTATTTGAGTTTTACCGGCGTTTCTTATTATGCAGTTTTGTACTTTCTTTTGTAAATAGTAAATAGTTCGTCATTACCTCTCTCGTATTATTTGACCAGGGAAAGAAAACAACTAAAGGGATGTGTTAGGGGAACTTAAAGGATTTTGGTTTTATTTCGGTATTATATTACTTTTTACTCGTGCGGGTTCCGAAATTGTTCGGAAATTCAAAAGGTTGGCAAACAACTTCGTAACTTAAATACAAAGTTCGTTATGAACTCCTAAACTTCTCACCGAAATTCTGAACTTGGAAGAATTCAGAAGTATTCTTCATTCGATAACTCAAAACAACGTGCCCCCTCTCCTCCCCCCTCAAGCACAAATGTCTTACCAAAGCCTGCTCTAGTTCGTCACCATGCCATTTACCGTGCATTCGTAAACACTCAGTCACTAGTCGCTGGACCTCTTCGGTTTCAGCAACAACCATCTCCTTAACAGGTTTGGAATTAACACTCTCGACGACGAGCAGGGGAACGTTTGGTTTCTCGCTCGACTTGGCTGGGAATCAAACAAACTAGGATTAGATAGACAAACAAGCAACACGGATGGAAGCACACGTGGAAAAACCGCGAGAACGTTCGCCTCTCACCATGGTAACCTGGGTTCGATTCCTGGACTCGGTGTCGCATGCGAGTACAGTTTGTAGTTAGTTTGCTTCTGTGCTTTGATGGATTTTCTCCTGGTTCTCCGGCCGGTTTTCCTCCCTAGCTAACCCAGCTCCGCAAAAATTAACTACTAATTTCTAATTCCATCATGGAACAAGGGACAGGTGTGTTATTCACTGCCTATTAAGTGCTGCCGTTCGCGTAAAAAACGATGACAAAACAGGAGAGGAGGGAGTAAAGGAAGGAGGAACTACCAAACAAAGGAAGGAAGAGAGGAAGAAAGGGAAAAAACGAGGAAGGGAGAAAGAGAGGAAGGAACGATGAAAGAGAGGAAGGAAGGGAGAAATAAAAGAAATGGAGGGGAGGAGGGAGGGGAGGAGGGAAGGAGGGGAGGAGGGAGGGGAGGAGGGAGGGAGGGAGTACCACTAACCTGTCTCATCAGGTTGTACATTCCTTTTATTTCTCGTTCTTGACTTTATCACGATTGGTTGAAAATCCTGAGAAAAAGATGGCAAGAATCAAATATAAGAACCGAGAGCAATGCACCGAAAGTTGCGACCAAGATGGTATCTAAAAGGATCTTTTAATTTTTTTATTCATTTAATCGTCACAATGCAGTCTTCTTTTTTCTTCTTTATCTTCCTTTTCCCCCAACTATTATTTTTTAATTTATTTGCCCATCCCCGGTCTTCAAAAACCGCAATCCATAAATCGTATAATATAAATCCTATTCAACAAAAAGCATTCGATAAGCCGAGCGGCAAGCGACAAATAACTCCATACCTTGAAACCCTGATAGGAAGGTACGAGCATGTAAGTCTTGACGCGATGTGATCGCTCTATCGACGAATCCAATGATCCTTAAAAATAAGAAAAAAATAACGTTGAAAATTCGTTGGGTTTAGAAATGGTGACATCGTATTTACAAGGTAACAAGATATTCTATGGGGGTGGGGTGGGGGAAAGGTGACAAAGGTATTGGATTTGCAACGACGTATTCCATAGGGGTGTRGGTTGGGGAAGAGTTATCCGAGGGGGGTAGGGATAGGGGGTTAAAAGAGTCTCCTTGATAAATATAAAGAAAACTATACACGACTTTCAAAAATGGCCGCCAAACTCGGTTGAGACTAGGGACAATAGAATGGAAACGAGGTAAGTAAGGCCTCATTAGAAAACAAAGTCTACTCAGTACGATCTTTTGTGTCAAAGTCATTCACCCTTACTTCAAAATAGACTCTTAAAAGAACTCGAATTGATGAAATGAATGACTTTGACGCAAAAGATAGTACTGAATAGACTTTGTTTATTAATGCGGCCTTACTTACCTCGCTTCCATTCAATTGTCCCTAGTCCCAACCGAGTTTGGCGGCCATTTTTGAAAGTCGTGTATGAAAGGAACAACAATCGCGATAGAATACTTACTCTTTCTACTGTTGGTAGTTGGTTGTAACATATTCGAATTCTACGGGTAAAGAAAGCAGAATGAACACGACGATAGAAAAGAATGAAACATCATGTAACAACTTCAATGTCCAGATAAGTGGGATCGTTGGCATTTCTAACGGAACAATAGGACTAATTTGTACTCACCCCACTAGTGAGGGTATCTGTGTCCACCACGTGATTTTTACTAGTAAGTTGTGTGGTGCTGTCGTGTTCTTCGTTTTCTCTTCTTTTTTTGATTAACTTCTTGATTTTTTTCTTTTTTTTCTTAGGTGGATCGTCTGTTGGAGTATCAAGATGTGGCTCTGATGACACAAGAAAGAAAGAAAGAAAGAAAGAAAGAAAGAAAGAAAGAAAGAAAGAAAGAAAGAAAGAAAGAAAGAAAGAAAGAAAAAATTATGTGAGATTTTCTTTT